AAATAATTCCATACATACCACCCACACCTACCACACCTACCACACCTACTACACAATGATTTCATACATACCACATATTCTTGAATAAGCTTCTAGAAATTAAGCTCTATTTAAACAACTAAAATCAAGTTTATATTTCAACAAACTGATCATAATCCTATCCCCAAAAGTCGAGTTTTTTGACTCTCTCCATCTGAAACCCCTCGCTCGGCACGCCGGAGATGCAGCTGGGCATGGTGAAGTTGGGCCTGCAATCCAAATATGTCCTGTTGGGATCTCGCCATGATTAGCCCGGAGGGAAACAACAGGAGACCATCTAGGTAATGTCATAGCCGCAGTAGCTATTAAATCCACAAGTGAGGAGACCATCTAAGAAGTGAGGAGAGATTGACAGATGTCGTGGGGCTTGAAATCCATGAGCAGCCACTAGGGGGAGCCGCCGGAGATTGCGGAGGGCTTTGGTTGGACATAGTGGCGGGAGACGCCGGCGGCGTCGGGTAGTAGAGGGTTGCTCGGTGGTAGAAATCGGAGGTGGATTTCGTTGTTGCAGAGGTTAGAGTTATTAGAACGGTTCCCGCAGGGGATATCAGGTCGATAGTCCCAGAAAAGGTTGAAGACGAGCCTGGGGCCAAAGCTGGTCGAGAAAAGGTATAATTACAACAGACCCCCTCCTTTACACCCCTTACGTGTAGGTAGGGGTGTAAACGGGCCGAACACGAACGTATTGGGCCGAACACAAACATACTTCTTGAACTCGAAGCTCGTTTACACCCTAGCGTCGCGTGTTGAATTTGTCCATTATTTTGATTATATATTTTTATTCAATTTATGAGAATGAATTTTAATAAGATATTGCTTCTAAAATTTAGCCTTATTATTATTATTAAGGAATTTACTTTTCTAAAAATACTATTTTACCAATAAAATCTATAAAACATATCAAATTTAATTGACTCATCTCAAAGCTTAGGTATGTAAATATATAAAAACTAAGTGCTATGAATGTAAATTCTCACTTTTTATATTTTGATAATTTACATAAATACCACTTAATTATTATGTCTTTACATATCTAACACCTAAAATTTCTTGAAAAGGTATATTTAACATTTTAAAATTTAAAATAGTTGTATTTTTTATTTGACATCAAAGATTTAGGTGGTATAAATGTAAAAAAAAAATAAAGTTCAAGGATATGTAAATATATAAGAATTGGGTGGTATCTTATATAAATGCCCCTTTATTTTATTTTTATTTTATCTTGATTTATTGGTCATCATTTTTGCCCTAAGCATGATGCTCTGCAATTATATTTTTATAATTATTGGTGGGGATATGTGATTTGAGGCTTGCAACAAAGTCAATATTATATTTTATTTATTTATTTATTTATTTATTTATTTATATTATGGCTGGCCTGTATTCCTGCCACTTGCTGCAAGCACGTTTTATTTATAAATATTAAAATTTAGATGATGTATTTAAATATATAATAATTCTCTCTCTCTCTCTCTCTCTCTCTCTCTCTAATTAATGGAATGGTCTAAGGCTATTATAATAGCTCTGATCATTCCGATGTGTCTACTAATTTGTGTACAACACCCTCCACAAGAGGGAATCAAACTACAGATAATAAAGAGCTTACAACTGACAAATAGATGCCCGACTAACTGATCTAAATGCTTGACACGTGTGTGTGTGTGTGTGTGTGTGTGTGTGTGTGTGTGTGTGTGTGTAACACATACACATACATGCAATTGTATGTAATTATGTATCTAACAATCAAACAGTTAATATTTATTTATACATTATTGAAATTCTTAGCATTACAAAAGAAATATCATTATTGCTAAAATTTTAGGAAAAACTGTATTTTCATGACGACGTAGCTTCCCAGTGTGGTAGAACCTTGAATCCCTCGCCTACAGCCTACGAGCCAAGAGGAAGAATGACATTAACAGACTTAACTTCCTCAATGATTTTTGGTAGGAGCCGAGCATAAGGATGAGAAAGATGAGAGTATTGGTGATATCTGTAAGTCATGATCGCCTATATCTTACGAGTGAGGAGGAAGAATGGCATAAAGAGATTTACCTTCCTTGATGATTTATGTAAGTCACGATCCTGTTTGATGGTCTCCGTAAGTCGCTCTCTAATGGCGGTTGTATCGCGATGGACGAAGAAGGGAGATTTGGGCAAATATCGAGAGGGGGAGGATGTAAACAAGGATTTCAAACCGAGAAAGGAAGCAACCACACTCGCTGCCGTAACAAAATACCTTCACCTATAATTTTAATTTTTTGGGGCCTTTACATATAGTAATTATTATTTAGGAATTTATTATTAACTTTTATTTAAATTTCATTTTAGATATTAAAATTTGAAAAAAAAAAAAAAGTCATTGTTATAAAATTTAAAAATAATTTTTTAATACAAATTGCTTGAAATATTTCCTATTTAAAAATTAAAATTATATATATAATCCCCAGCTGTCTCCTGCTTCTGCGCATTCCCTTCCTCAGCGACAACCCTACCGTTTTCTCACAGCTTAAATTTAGTCATTTTTAATTCCTCCAATAAGCCATCTGTCTATCTATGGCTTTTCCACTTCCCCTCTTCAATTCGAGCTATTATCTCCCCTCTCCCTCTCCTCTCATCCCCCCACCCCACGAATCGAATTCTTCATCCCCCCACGATTCCATCCATGGATTCCGACCTTATGCTCCCCATTTCCAAGACCTAGCTCCGATTTCGATTCTTTTCTCCTGCGTAGATCCCGGTTC